CATTTTTGGGTCCCACTCCAGACCTGCTGAATCAGAATCTCTAGGGGGTGGGACCCAGAAATCTAAGGCTTAACAAGCCCTCCAGGGGAGTCTGATGCCCTTTGATCTAAAGCCTCTGTATTGTTTCAGAGACCAGCAATCTAAATACTAACCCTGGCTACACAGTCATGTCATCTGAGACGCTTTAGAAAAATAATGCCTGGATCCTACGGCCCCTCCCCCCAAACCCACGCTTATGTAACCGGTCTGGTATGCGGCCCAGGCTTCGAAAATTTTTGAAAGTTCCCTGGATGATTCTGAATTGCAGCCAACGTTGGGAACCACTGATCTAAATAAATATGAAGGGAGACAATTATACTGTGAGTGATTAAGTAGGTATCCGAAAGTGAGACACAGTAACGAAAAACACAGGGGGAAAGAAAAAGGCTAACATGAGAGGTTAAGCTGTGAAACCAGAAGTATAAAGGAGAGAGATGATTTCAGTGAGACACTATTGGACACATCCCACGCCCACGATTTAAATTAGGCTGAAAAGCTCATTACCTCCTTTGGGAACAAGTATATATCGATGGTTTCTCATCGCTGTGGGTATTATAATGAGAAGTCCTCTTTACTGGGTCAAAACACACAGCCCACTATGTTCTCAAACACTTTCATCATCTGATCTGTTCCCTTCACTGTCCCTTCCCCTTTCTGAGCTCGGATAGAGGGAGTAGGTCGAGTAAGCCCGAACTGGAACTGCGTCAGGCCACCATCAGATGTAGGACGGGCCCCTGTGAAGGTCCCTTAAGCGCAGAGGCCCTCCTGCCAGCAGTAAGCTCCAAGAACAAAGGGCGTCCATGCGCGATTTTAACCAATGGGAAAACAGAATATAAGCCTCTTCTTAAAGAAGGAAAAACATGAAATCAGACATGGGTCTTCCTTTAGGAGAGAAATCAGTTTTAATTCAGTAAATCTGAGGAATCGCATAAAATTTGTTACCCAAGCGTGGTGAATTATCTTGATTTGCAACGAGGTGTAGAGCACAATTAGCTGTGTCCCAGCAAGTTATGCTAGAATCAAAGGTCTCAATTCAAATTGCACCACGCCATACTCTGGACTTTTTTGTAGGTTGTTTATCCCGAAGATCCAGGGAGATGTGACCATGCCCCGAAGTCTATCATTTAGCTCTTTCAACATAGAAACTCTTATCTTGTATTTGTGTGGTTGTTAAGATTTGTTAAAACATGATTGAGATTGCATAAGGTCATAAAACAGAGCTACCATAGAACTTTGTGGTCAGTAGGCGTTCGTTGATTGACTGAACTTTATTGCTTACGATGTAAGAAACTCACAGTGAATCTCCAGGTTTTTCTTCCACATCTAATGGAAAAGATTCATGTTTTCACATTAAAATCTCAGAATAGTTTCTGGCAATAAAATAGTTTTTTTGTTTTTCTTCCACTACGGCTTCATATAGATGCTAACAGGTTCTGAACCTAAACTGGATGAACAAGTTGGCTTTGACAGTTAGGCAACAGCACAATAAATTCAGTAATTGTTACTTTTAGCTGAGCTTGGGCTGTGGGCAAATCAGTGCAAATGGAATTCAAATTTTAGCCTGCACCAGGCATTGTCCGCATATTCTGACTTAGGCGATTTGGGGTGGTGCTCAGAAGTCATCGTCGTAAAGCAGCACCAGGTGGGTGAAATGCTGGTCTTAATAATCAACAATAA